AATTATTGATTTTGATAAGGAGACGGAAGGGCATTTTGATATCAAGCTGATATCAAACTTCTTGTCTCGTGATTTGTTCTTGGTTAATGCTTATTAAAGGATTTTTATCTTTTATTTTCATTTTTTTTTCTTTAGTGTTAAGTCGGTTTTAGTATTGTCCTCTAAGGTTCAACTTTAAAATTGTCTTATATGTGTTATGTTCATTTTGCTTTTATTTCAACATTTAATTTACATTTATATTTATTTATTTATTTATTTATGATTTATTTATTTTTATTTTGTTATTCGCAAAACCTCGGCGAGACATATTGGTTTTCATTCTCATTTTTTTTGATGAACAAATGTAAATGATACACGAAATATTAAAAATAAAATGATGCAATAGATATTAGCAAAAATATTATACAGTTGAATAGTTATCCATAAAGATGTACATTTTTTTCACATCTAATAGTCCCACTATATATATAAAACAAAATCAGGTGTCTTCTCGCAATAGTCCATGACAAAATAATGACAAAATGCATTTAAATTGTGAAAAAAAATCTACTCGTCTTTTGCTAAACACTGAAAATTTATGCCTCGTCATCTTATCTATCGCAAGGTCTAAATTACACATTTAAAGTTTGATTTATCTAATATCACTATTTAATATCATTATTTTTGTATACATCGGTAAATTAGGCAAAAAATAGATGATATTAACGTGCATATATCATCACGTACATAAAGCAACACACATTCGAGTAAACACGTACATATACACACATTAATATATCCGCACATAACTTTAGGATGTGTACACACTTACACAGAGAGAGGGGAAGATAAGATAAGAAATAAGCGAAGGTGGGAATGAAGAGACGGGAAGAGAGAGAGCAGAAAAGAAGTGAAAAGGGGAAAAGAGACAGAGCAGAAGAGAAGTGAAAAGAGGAAGAAAGAGAGAAAAGAAAAGTAAAAAGGGAACAAGAGAGAGAGAGAGAGAGAGAGAGAGAGAGAGAGAGAGAGAGAGAGAGAGAGAGAGAGAGAGAGAGAGAGAGAGAGAGAGAGAGAGAGAGAGAGAGAGAGAGATCAGAAAAGA